GTGCGCTGACGCGCAGGGGAAGGGGAAATCTCCTCCCCAACCTTGCACAAAGAAAGACGGACAGAGAGACAGACAGAGAAACTGACAGAAGAGAGACATAAAGAGAGACAGACAGAAAGACAGACAGAGAGACGGTCACAGACAGAGAGACGGAGACAGACAGACAGATAGACAGACAGACCGACGGACAAACAGACAAAAAGACAGACAGACAGACAGGCAGACATAGGCAGACCGACCGACCGACAGACAGACAGACAGACCGACCGACGACACAGCCAAGCAGGCAGGCAGGAAGACAGAGAGACAGAGAGACAGAGAGCCCCAGAGGTTACAAGCCATAAAAATAAACAATCAAAATAAAAACAAAACAAATCCGAGACTCAAGCGAACTTTTCACACCCCCGAAAGCCCCATAACATATGGGGGGCCAATAGGCCGGGGGGCCTGACAAGCCCCTTATGCCCTGGGGAAGAAGAAGAAGAGACAGAGACAGAGAGACAGACACAGACCTTACAGACAAACAGAGCCTACAGACAAACAGAGCCTACAGACAAACAGAGCTTACAGACAGACAGAGACAGACAGAGACAGACAGACAGACTGACTGACTGACTGACTGACTGACAGACAGGCAGACAGACAGACAGACAGACAGAGAGAGAGAGAGAGAGGCTGCGCACCGTAAGGGGGACAAACAAGCAGGAAAACGTATCAGAGGATCCGATGTTTTAGTCAGATTTGGTTATGTAGTGTCCTGTGCTTCTCATGTCTTCTGATACGGAAATCACGGGCGCTTGAACAAACCTGCCGGGGAGATCAACGTGTCTTGTTCATGATAGAAAAATTAGTAATCTCCACCGGCAGACCACAATGGGTGTCCCAAAGTAGCACTATGTGTGTAGATCGGGGGAAATACAGACTTTCGATCTGCATGCAAACTTTTCACACCCCCTGAAAACCCCATGAAAATTGGGGGGCCTACTGGCCGGGGGGTCGAACCGACTCCCCATGCCCTGGAGAAGAAGAAGAGGCTGCGCAGGGGAAGGGGAGCTTGCGTCCCCAACCCCAAACGCCCTGCAAGCAAGCAAGAGACAGACATGGAGACAGACCAGACCAGACCAGACCAGACCAGACCAGACCAGACCAGCGTGCATACAGAAAGCGAACCCGCCAGCCACGTAGGCAGACAGAAAGGGAGTAATAAGGCAGAGAGACAGACAGAGACAGAGAGCTGGCTAGTACGGAAGAAAGGAAGGGATAGCGAACTAACTGGCCTTCCCTGACGCGGGCTGTGGTCTTGAGCGCCTGAGGAACCCTGGTCAATTTCTTGATCTAGAAGACCTGCCATTGACTCTCAGCCAAACAAGAACGCTAGCGCCATTCGGTCATCTGCGGCCGTCTGATGCCAGAATTTTTAAAGCCTTGATGTGAAGCTGGTGAAGCGGTTAGGAATGTGCAAGCTGTCATCGAAAAGCTCTCGGGGCCCACGGCTGGCGAAGCGAGCCTCGAGAGCCTCGGCGAAACGAAGGAAGTCTCGTCGCTGCATGCTGTTGAGCATTGCAGCGCTGCAGCACCCGGAGCAGCAGCGCAGCAAGGAAGCTGGTGGCGAAGCTCGCCGAAGGTGTCATGGCCAACTACAAGGAGAAAAAGGAGGAGGTGCGTTTATGTGCATGGTGTTTGCAAAGCAGTTGTGTCCAATTTGCGCTGTGCTGGGCAATGTGCAAATACATTAACTACATTACGCGCATGCCCTGTCGGGCATTGTGATACGTACTACTTCATTGCGATACGTACTACTTTGAGGCCACCAGCCAGGGCGAAGGTATGAAAGCGAGACTTGCGCTTTGCCAGTCTGCGAGTTCGCAGGCATTGGCATCAGAGCAGTACGAGTATGTCAAGCTCCCGAATGGAGCCGATGGCTGTCCTTCCGGGTCGGAGATCCCGACTTTCGAGGAGTGTCGGCAACTTGGACCAGAACTGCTAGGCGCAGAGGTGTCGGTTTGCAAAAGGAGACTGAAAGTCAAGCCTTGACGATTTCTAAGGCAAGCCATCCTATCCATGGGCTTGAAGCCCGACCCCTACTGGACGAACGCCTTCGAGGGTCTACCGAAGTTCTGCTCTGTGAGAGAAAGCCCGCATGAAACCGTGGGCCTGGCTCCTCAGCTTTGCAAAGAGACGGAAAGAGACAGAGAACGACGGGCAGAGAGAGCGAAGAGCCAAGGAGCGCATGCACTTCAACACGGCTGGACGCGGTGCTGGACGAGACGACCTTGCACCAGTGACTAGTCTAAGCTCTTGAAACAAGCTCATGAAACCCGGGGTGCTCGTAACTGCATTTGGGGTCCGACTTGTAGCTAAGCCATTGTCGCGCAATTTGGCTACCTGGAGGACGGAAGTTCACTCAAAGTTGCACTGATTGGGTCAGTGGGTCACCACAAGGGCAGGTGAAGCTGCGAGAAGACGCGAAAACTGTGGCGCGCCAGGCTTGGCACAAGTGTCAGGAATGGTGGGTTTTGCACCAGGATGTGACACTGCGCAGAAGACTTGGCAGACGTGCCAGAAGCGACGCGAGCAAGGGGAATGACATTTAGAGGGCTGAAGATTCGAGTTGAGGTGGGCATGTGGGCATGTGCACAACAGCCATCACTGCTTCCTAGGTAATGATTGCAAGGGAGGTAGGGGCCTAAATGATTGCGAAATGCCACAATCATTTCCAGCCCCCAAGAATGATTGCAGAGGGCCACACGGGTCGTCTTCCAATGTGACGCGTTCGATGTAAAATGATTGCCATCTTCTTCGGGGGTTCCCAAGGAAATGATTGCAACGGGGGAGGGCTAAGCCTCCTGAGTGAGACCTGATCAACAGCCCCTCTTGAAAAAGGGTTCATGGATTAGGGTGTAGAGTGTAGGTGGGTTTACGTATGCGGAGTTGGCTGACACTTAGAGGCCAGCTGCAAAAGAGGTTTCCGGAAATTGGCTAGACTAGACTTCTGCCTAGTGACACACAGGCAGCTTCGCAGCTTCTCGCAGCTTCCGAGTCTGTCGAGCTAGCCCAACCCGTGCAATGTTAAATTTCATAGCTTTACGCAAAAGAAGTGCCGGCCGTAATGTAATATATTGAATATTCAGAATTTTAGGGATGATCGCAAATTCCCGAAGGCGTCTCTCGTCTCCATGATGTGGAAGTGGAGGAGTTGCAAAGCGCGATGACGCGGAAAGTTTATATCAAGGTCTAGGGAGCTTTGTGATCGCGTCTCGGCTGTCGAAGCTGCACACAAGAGGTGCATCTTGACACCGGAATCAGGACTTCCATTTTTCTTCATCATTCGGCGGCAGGTTATGGAACTGTCCGCATTTCGGTTGCTCCAACTCGAGGTCATGAGCACGAATGTGGCATGTGGCACGTGCCGTGAGCTCTTTGCTCGGCTTCTGTAGATCAACATGGCCCCGCGCCAAGGTGCGGCCGAATCAAGTCATTGACCAGATGCTTCTTCGAGGAAACGACCAGAACATACGCAGAGTAGAACGGGGGCAGTGGATTGGGACATCGGCACGGTGTAGGACTTTGCATGCTCACGGGGAGTGCGGGACACGCCAGCACAACAGTCGGCGTGCTTGTGGAGACCCCGGGCCAGTCTTGATTTTGCCGACGCTGTCTGGATTTTGGAAATTTCGCTGGCATCAGGGTTTGCAAGCCGTGACACCAGAGATGGTTGGGACGGTGCAGATGGTTGCATGCCAATGCTGCCGAGATTGTGATGCGAAGGGGGCTTGCATGGCTGCTGCAGGTCGGGTGACGGGTTTGGGTCGAGCCATTACAGGAGCTGCCAGAGAGTAGCCTGCAGTCAAGAACGAGCCGCGTCATCGTTAGTCACGCCTTGTTCGGCGCGCAAGGCCGCGTTCTGACGGTGATGCAAGAAGCGTTGCAGAGGATCCAACACGGCCTGAAGTACCCTTGTCTGTCGGGCTTTGCACGAACACTTTGCTTGGCTGGTGCTGTGTACATTTGCGAGCGAGTTCTTTCTACCAACCGACTCCTCACAACGAAGGTTTGCAGGAAGATCGGCACAGCGGCCGGAGGCCTTTCGCAGCGTCTCCTACATGTTGCTCCAGAATTGTCCTCATGCACGAATCATGTCAGGACAAGCGGGTAAGCCGAAGGAAGCACCGTCTCCGACAAAGGGCTCGCAAGGCACCGAAATCTTTAAATGCGAGTGGCCCATACACTGTGACCGGCCAGGGCCTGGAGGTGCCTCGTCGGCCCTACAGGAGCTCAGCGGCCGAACGCAGCAGAGTTTCCTTGGCCGAGACGCTTGGTCAACTGCCAGGAAGACTATTTCAGCATGGATTGACGGCGTAGCACAGATAGTGATAGTGCTTTCTCCTGAGCTAAGGACAAGCCATTATGGTTTCTGGTGTACATGAAAGAGGGGCCCCTTACAGAAGTGGAGGAAGAGATGCTCCTGAATGTGAAAGATCGCTTCCAGCAGAAGCTCGACGAGCAAAGAATTCCTCTGCAGTGGCTTTGGTTGGATTTGCGTGCGGAGCGGGCCGTGCGATCTTTGCTGGACCCACCGGCAATCCCGTCTGCGATGGTGATCAAAGGCTTGAGATGGGATTCGAGTAGAGTGGAGGTGCCAGCAAAGAGACACACCCTTGAAGGTGGCAACAGCCCGAAGTATGCTTTAGTCCAGCACGACGAGCAGGCCAAAGTTGCAAGGGTCGGTAATTGTAGGAATGTTTTCAGTTCCAAGAATGGAAAATTCCAACCCGCCTTCCCACATCTTGCGTGGCCTTAAGCAGGATGACGAGCCTGTGCCAGCAGACGCCAACAGCATAGAGCTGTTGCTTCACTGAACTGTTTCTGGAGTGTCCGACTGGGATCAATATCCACAATATCCTGTGGGTGATGCCCATCTGTCCCAGGTTGCTCAACTCACTCTTGGGTGGGGATGCGCGGTGCCTCGGCTGGCAAGATGTCCATGCCGAAGGACACCAAACAGCCTTTCGCATGCCTTGTGCATGCGTCGAAGTGGTGTTCCGTCAAGCCCTGATACTCTTACAACGACGGCGCAGGTGTGTTGATGTGGCGGGTTCTGCTGCAGCTGCAAGGTGGTAGTGACCGGTAGCCACCGTTCTCATGTGTTGCTGAGCAAGTAGTTGGTAGTAGTAGCAGTCGTGGTGGTGGTGGTGGTGGTAGTGGTAGTGGTGGGAG